TGTTCCTTCTAACAGAATATGCAGAAAGTTCATAAGATGCTAAATACATGTCTGTCTGAGTTTTAAAAGTTCTCTTTCTAATCGATACTTGTTCTCTGATGGCTCTGATAATCTCGTCTTTATGACCACCTTACATAGACAATCAAATTTTCTTGGAAATTGATGATAACATTTGGATTGAGGTCTTTAGGTCAGGAAATTTCTCGTTCAGTCCAGATGTTCACGGCAATAACATCGGTATACCGGCAGTTCCACCGTCGTTACCGACGATATAGTACTACTAGACATGCGCTGCATCTAACACACGTTCTCCTCCCTCGCCTGCCGGTACCCGGTGCCAACACGGAATCAAGAACACCGGGGCGGTGACCGACAAAGCTAGACAGTCCCCTTGCGTATGCCACACACGCCTGGTACGCCGCGCACGATGGGTCAGATTTTCACACAAGCAACGGAGCGGCCCAGATTCCAAATGAGTCAGATCAGGAAGGGAAGGAGCCATTGCAGCCTGACTCTCCGTCCTGAGAGGACCAAACTATCCCGTCAGCTAGCACGGCTCTAGCGCACCATCATAGCTTAAAGGCGTATTAGATGGTTTACAATGAGGAGTGCATGCCGAGTCTTGTAGGAACAGAGTCCACAAAGTCAACCTCATTCTCTTTTCTCTATCTCAGACAGCGGTCCAGTGTTTGACCCGGTCAGCCATCGACTGTGAGGATTGAGCGCAAAACTGCGCCGAGGCGCGCCATCGCACTCTTCTATGTGTGGCATTTTTTATGAGTGCGCGGCCTACGACACATACCTTACCCTGATCTGGACCCCCTAAAACTAAGTAAGGAACGTGTCTGGCAACTCTATCGGTCATTAGCATAATTCAAAAGCTGAAAATCATATGTAAATGTCAAGGGCGACAAGAACTGCGGGAAAATGGGTTTGGTAAATTAGTCCGGCTATGGGTTAACTGACACACCCACATATGGTTGGTAGCGGAACGGATTAACTTCTGCGAAATACGTCGACTTTTGTGTCTGACAGACAAACAATCTTAGGCTGTTTAAAAGTAGTATCTTCAAGCGTGCCTGGACAACTCATAGAGCTACACAAGTGCAACAACTGTGGATAAATAACGTTCTAACCGAGTTTTTGGAGACCCAAGAAACTATGGCCTGCATGCTCTCCTTAAAACTGTCAAGGGTCGATAGTTTTGAGAGGAAAAAGCTCCTACTCAACAACAAAAACGAATATATACACACCCATCGGCACGAACTTGAGACCTGGACGTGTAAAAGTTCGTTTTATGAGGCTGCTTGAGGCAGCTGCGAGCATTCGACTCCTCAGTGAGTCCACAAACGTCCCACGTTATTAAATAAGATGACACCGAGTACGGTGAAATAACACTTAAAGCAACAACAAAACATGCACACTCACATTGGGCTTACATCGTTGGCTCATGTCAATTGACCTCGCCAACAAACTGAGATATTACTTTTCTGATACCACAACACGCATGTACAAATAGGGAAGTCAAGGGTAGCCCATCTACATTTCTCTCAAATATACCGATACTGATCTAGTATCCAGAAACTCCCACATGCTGCAAACCAACGTTAATAACCCTGATTAGCACCACCGAGGGCATCGCAAATAACGACACCAAAAAGACGAAAAAAGTGGACGCTTATCAGCACTCACCTTAATCTGGCAGTTGCGTCCAGCATAACCAAGGGAGCAGTTACAGTGATAGGAGCCGGGCAAGTTGATGCAGACACCTCGGCGGGGGCCGCTGTATGGGCTACAGAGGGCATCGACGTGGAACGTGGACGAGGAATCACCAGCGTCCGCAGTGACCTCACTCGCCATCCTCGTCGCTGTAGCAACTCGGGCGGCCAGAAGACATTCGTCCAGATCGTGCTCGCAGCGACCACCCCGCCATCCCAGGGGACAGAGGCACTGAGGCCCCGTGGGTGTGTGCCTACACCGAGCACCATGCAAACAAAGGACACTGCCGGAGCCTGGAGGTCGGAGGGCACGCCGAGGGGATTGAGCAGGCAAG